CCTTAGAAAAACTGGATGTTGCTTTGTTTTTTAATTTCAGCTTGTTACAAAAGTGGAAGATCTTCTCACAGACTGGAAATTATGAGCAATGTGGATTTTCAGGCAATCAAAACATTTTAATGATCTCATTAAATGTATCATTTACAATACATATATGTTAAAAGAAATATGTTCCTTTGGGTTAGTAGAAGCACTGGGTACATAATGTGTTTGAACATGTTAGGCTTCCACTAGAATCTATGCCAGAATTGTAGAAACTTGGAGAAAAAAAACCCACCCTTTTTCTTGTGCCAGCATCTTTAAAGACAGAAACCTTTTTATCATATTTTATGCAAAATGAAAAAAAGATGTTATGGCAGCTTGATAGACTGCTTGGACTGCATCTCATCTGATAGATAAGTATTGCTATTAAGTGCTATCAGATTGACTGTTATTCTGTGATATTACTAGGATTAATGATGGATTTTCTTATGCATGAAACACCTAGTGTTATACAGGGATAGTAGTCTTCCTAAGACTGCAATTTTGTCACCTGTTGAGTTTTGTATGTAGCATTGAGAACTTGGAAAATGAGGGTTCTTGAAGAGAAATAGTTACTGTAACAATGGCTCTTAAAACTGCTTCATCCATTTGGCTGCCTTTTATAAATCACAGATTCCAGAGAAAAACACCTACTTCAACAGCCAGTTTCCTGATGATACACAAAAGGTGAAACCCCAGTGCTGATAAAAGGAACGGGGTATTAATGCAGAGACCCAGATTTTTTTTCTCGGAGCTTCCAGCTTTGGAACTGTAGGTGTGTTGAGAGTGTGCTTCCTAAAGCAGTAGTTTTAAATACATGTTAACGAGAGGTGTGTCCATCTTTCAAAACTGTATCTTTGCCAGATGTAGGCAGCGTCCTTCTCGGAGGGATGAGCTGTGCGACCTGTTTTCCACCCTGCGCCAGGCAGTGCGGCGGGCGACAGGCCTGGGCTGGAGAGCAGAAGCTATTGCATTATACCTCTGCTATTTCTTTTTATTGTAGTATTGTTCCTATAGTGGCTTGCTGACAAGTTATATGTTTTACAGATCAGGTCTGCTTGATGAGGAATCCTTGCTTAAAATAGTATCTAGGATAAATTAGGTTTGTAAATCAGACCTTATGGTTCCTATTGGAATGCTAATGATCTCAGAGGGACGGCTTGGGTTTTGAAAACAAATCTAAGCTAATGCCCAGGGTTCCTGAAAGAGCTGTTAATATAATGAAAATTCATGTTTAAGGCCTCTTTTAAAATATAAAAACTTGTCAGGCACTGCTCAACCAAGGCTGTTTGTAACTGCTGAAATGTGCGGACACACCAAAGCATCCTTTGCAACGTCTGGACACATCTCTGCTGTGCCAGTACAGCAATTCCAGTGCTGTCAGTAGAGACAGAAACCAGAGCATACTGTGGCCCATCATGGTTTGGATGTTTTTGCTGCATAGATAACTATGCAAGGCAGTTAGCCCAGCATGCTTGGCCCTACTGAGGGAGCAAGAATGACTCTCTTCTTGGTTACTGTAGGATAGTGAGTTCCCAGAGCAGTGCTACCCTCACACATTTTGAAAGTGTTCAGATAAGTCAAAATACATCATCCATATAATAGAGTTTTGATCACTCCGTGTTCATTCGTACTAGGTGTGAGAGTGAGGTGTGTTTTACAAAATCTTTCTGAACTGAGGAAGTAGTACAAAGCCAGAAGGCAAATGTGGGACTTCGACATCTCTCTTCCCCACCAATGTAAGCTAGTTTGTGTTGCTACCACCAACACGTTTCCACATGAATTAGTAATGTTAGTAGCATAATAAAGTAGGCCTTATTCAGCTGTGGTAGCTGGTGGCATTTTAGCTGCTGCAACATCCTGATCCCATGAAAATCAACATAAAGGGTGAAGTGGTTAACACCAGCAGCTCTATTGACGCTCTTGTTGGCACTAACTGGCCATTCTATAGAGGAAAGTGCTCTTGTAGGTTCAACATCAGCAAGTCCTCAATACCTCCTGAGGAAGAAGGAAGCTAACCACTTCTGTGTCTCAAAAGGTACTTTGTATTCAGTTATACAAAGATATCTGTAGCACTCCACATAGACCTTTTAGATAGAATCATTCCTGAGGAAAGAGACATTACGTCTGCCAAGTTTCAGGCCAAAGCAAGATTTTATAGCCTGATTGCAAACCCCTAGGACAGGGCTTTTTAATGGAAATGCTGACATAGCCTTAACTATTTTGTATGACTCCAGTGGGCATCAGCTTAAATTCTTGTTATGATGTGCATTTAATGGCATGGGATCAAACATATAGTGTAATGGGATATTTTAAGATATTGTTTGAAGAGAATCAGTATTTAAACATTGTTTATGAACCATATCTTTTAAATGCTTCTGAAATCTGCCATTCAGTCCTTGGTTGCATAAAAAAAATTCTACTCGCATTTCTCAGAATGAACAGCAGCATAGTTTTCTTCCGCAACTTTAATGCTGAGGCACTTCCATGAAAAGGGTTGGTATTATTTTGTTGAACCCTTACTGGAATATTTCTGGAAAATAAAGGTTTGTTTTTCATTGTGGTGCTCTTTAATTCTTCATTTCAGCCTTTTGAGGTATATTCTGATTTTTGCTTGGAGATCTTTGAAGATCATTTCTCTCCAGTTATCAGTGACTCTGCAAGAAGACAGCAGTTACTAGTATTTGCTGTGTTGTGCTAGATGAATCTGCTTTTTCTTGTGCAGTATCTTTCATATATTTCAAGTTAAGTTGATAGCGTAAGTCCCATCTCTCACACACACAACCTAATACGCTGTTTTGTGTGTGTGCTGAGGAAGTGGTTGCTCCAAAATGAAAGCTGACATTCATTAGTCATGCAAGCTGACAGTAAAACTTGCTTTAATGTAGATGATGAGTAGAACTCTCACTGCTTTTACTCCAAATGGGAATGTAGCGTTGAAAGCGGCCACTTTTGCTTATTACTCAGTTGGAGTCTGGAACATAAAGCCATATACTTTATCCTAGAAAAAAAATGCTTCTCCCTCAACTGTTATTTACTGAATAATAATGCTAACTGAAACTATTTCAGTGCAGAAGGTTAGGAAGTTTCAGAGCAAATCCTAATAAGTTTGTGTAATAATTTGAGTCTATTTTTTAATCATTTAGTAATAATCTGTGTGAAGATCTCAAAGCACTTTGATAATGTAAAAAATGGAAACAGTCTTTGGAGAAGTGCCAGTCTGACTAAGCCAAAGAGACTCTGTCACTGGTTTCTGTTAAGCCAGCACTGCACTCCCACTGCAAACCCGTCCAGCCAGGAACAGGGGAACCACAGTACTTTGCTTTCAGAAATGGCAATAGCAGAGTCACTGTGTCGGTCCTGTGGTTTGCACTGGTTTATCTTTGGGATAATCATATTTCTCCTGGTGAGTATGCAGGGTGCAGTCTGGAAGAAGGGCTTGGGCTTTCATCCTGCAGTTGACTCATTTGTCCAATTTTTGAGGAACATTGCTATAAAAAAACTCTCCAGTATATTTTATTTCCAAAATTTTGCAAGTCACACTATATTGTAAGCTTCCTTTATACATGAACACTTTTTCAGGGTACATGGAAATTACATGATTTTCATCCTTTAAAAAACAAGCATAAACTAATGATATATTCTAAATGGCTAATAACTGGAGTTCCAATTAGTTCAGCAGTTGACAAAAAATTAAAATTCAATCTTATTCCTGTGGTAAGGTCTGAATTATTTCGTTCCACATGGTTCTTATAGGTGCGCTTTTTTTTTTTACTTTTAGCAGAGTCAAATGACACAAAAAGGTACTGTAGTGCTCTTGACTTTATAGGAAAAATTAGTAGTCTGAAAAATTACTTCAACATTATTTAATAATTTTGCAGCAGCCCATCATTTGTTTGACAGGAAACAGAAAATATTGAGATGCATATCTCAAGAGCAGAGTTCCATAATGAAAAAACCTGCATATATGCATTGAATGTACAATCTGCACTACTTAGGACTTTTGAAATTTGCTAAGAGCATTTTACAATTTTCACCAACTTTCCTGCTTTCCATCAGGATGAGGTATCATCTGTCACCACTCAATCTTTTTTTTTTTTTTTTTGCTATTAAAAAAGGCATGTAATTTTAATTTTTTGGCCCATTAGTGTGCAAATGCCATTGGGCTTGTTTAGCCTGAACTCATGGTCTAAATTCAAATCCCTCTGCTTTTGAGGAGACTATTAACCACATTTTAGAAACACAGCTGTCATAATCTAAAAATCAAGATATGAAAATAACTAGAAACAAATATTATTTAAAGCAACTCTACAGGGAGCAGAAATGGGTACACAAATTTTCCAAAGCAATACAGTGAACAAAATATGGAAATATGATAAAATACTGTACAGCCTTCAACAGATAAAGTTGAAATCACAATTTCATGTTCTCACTGAACCTGGGGGACAAAGAATCCCAAATAACTAGAAAAGTAGAATGCATTTAACCAGAACAGTCCTTTGGAGAATATGTAGTATTTGGATAGTCCCTTTTTTTTATTGATGAACTAATTTATTTAGATATATGCATTCCTTAAAAAAAATTATAAAAAAGAAAAAAGAAATGGCAACAAAAAACTTGAGGGTGGTCTAAGATGTCTCTCTTCTTTATGTAACCTTTTGCATTTTGTGTTTAAGAACTGACATTCCAAATGATTTTCTTTGGCTTTATGCCTGGACTGAATACTGAGGCAGCAAATTAGGAATGCTTAAGAAGTCCCACAAAGAAAGATCTTTGCTGTGAAAGTGCAGCTAATGTGACACTTGCACTGGAAGCTTCTTAGCCTACTCAAACGATAAAATATGGCACGGGTCTAGCTGGTGTGAGGGGAGTGAATGAAGACTGAAAGCACCATGCGCGGAGCTATACAAGGTGTTTCTTGTGGCCAGTTATCTGACACTGTGACTCTGTGCTGATACTACCTTTTATTTCTATTCCAGGGGCTAACTTTGTTACTCGAAAAATTAGCCGATCGGTAGCAAAGATTCACCTCGGACAGCTGGATTGTTTCAGCCTGGGCAATCTGGATGCTAAGAGGGACTGGGGCCATGCCAGGGACTATGTTGAGGTAAGCTGTGGGCCACGTGCCTTTTTCTGAATTGTCTTCATGGTGGGGATAATGCTTATTTCTGTAACTTCAGGCCATGGTCCATGGAGGGCTATCTCAAGATGTTTTTGCATATTGAGGCCTGTTAACTTTGTCTTGCTCTTGATTTCAGAGTAGGGAATTTAGCAACACAGCAGTCTACTCCAGGCATGACCAGAGCATAAAAATAAATCTTTGGGTTTACATTCCTTGACTAAATTCCTTGGGGGAGGGGGCTGACTATAAAGTGGATCTATTCTAGAGTATTTCTCCTATTGTTTTGACAAATTTTATGACCAATATTAAGATTGCAGCAAGATGCAGTATGACCTGAAGCCAAAGATCCTGCTGGAGGTTGGTGGCCTTTATTACAATGAGGCAAGAATGGTGTATGTATTAATGATCAAAGGTCTAGCTGGTTATACATTAGAAAGAAGCATCACAACATAGTTGTGATGGCATGTATTGCAACGCATGTGCCTGCATCTAGCGTTTGAAATGTTTTCATAGTCAGGATTTGTTTCTAATTTTATTCTGTGCATCTACTTAAGCAGACAAACAAACAATACCCCTGTATTGTATTACAAGGAGACGTGAATGACCATGTAGGAAATATTGTTATTTCCCCAGGAGACCTTTGTCCCCATTTTGGTGCTTAAAGATTTCCTGTGGTCATTGGACTATTTCTGTCTTTTAATAATTCCTTGCTGGGAAACCGGATTTGGCTTCACCATTCATTGATGTAGTTTAAAAAGATGATGACTGTTTGTTTTGTTTTTCTATATCACAAAGTAAGAAGTATTTCAGTAGGAAGAAGTCTGATTTGGGATTTTTATTGTAAACTGGGATTTAAAAGGTAAAATAAAAGCTGAGCTCTCAAATCTTGTTTACAGTCAAAAAGAAACAGCAAGAAAACAAAATTGTAATACCACAATATAAACTTTTGTTCTGGATGATATTAAAAAAAGTAAACAGCCATATTGCCTTGGCATCCAAAGGGTTACATCAAGCAGGCAAAGAAGGTGATTTTTGGCAGCTGGATATAAATAAAGTTGGCTTTTAGTTTTGCATTGCATTTGCATGTAAGGTGGTAAGGGCACTATGAATGTCATGACTATGCCTCCATGAGTATTGTTTTATATTTGTGGCTCCAACAGTAGTTGAAGAAGTTAATCCAGTAAACCATCCCAATCATCTTTTTAATGGATAAAACTATAGTCAAGAGTGTTCATAAAGTCAGTTATCAAGTCTCAACTGGAAGGAAGTAAAAGATAAACCAAATAAAATGATCAGTTGCATGAACATAATGAGCATAATTTGCTGACAGGCATTGGATATTCCATAAATACTTTGGCTATTTTATTCCAAAATGACTTGCACCAGATCATAAATCATGGGATGAATTCTGATGTCTTCTTCCACAAGGGAAATCCAGAATAACCCTCTTGTGCCTAGTGGGTCAGACACTTGTCCTGCGTTCAAAAGGGGAAAAAAAAAAAAAAAAAAAAAAAAAGAAGGAAATGAGAACAAGTCTATCCAGAAGAATGACTAGCTTTCAAGGCCTTTGGCCTCCAGAAGGAATATAGTTGTCCGAGGTCTACAGCATGAACACATGTTTGTTGTGTAAGTAGCATTCCAGACCTTTCAGCTACACATTTTGGGCCTGTCCCAAAACCTTCTGGAAAGAATTCCTCACTAAAATATAGTTCATCTTGAGTATTTCTCTTCCCAGAGAGGTATCCCTTTGGATAATGGGAGAGTTATTATCAATTCTCTAATTCCCTGAATATTGTGGAAATGTGGTTACAGGCAGTATTCTAATGGCTAAAAAAGAGAGTAACTTTAAACTGGAAGTAAACAATTATTTGAGGCTTTAATGGACTGGAAAGTAGGGTTTAGAGATTTAACGTTGTTCAAATAAATACATAGTATGTTAGAAAGCATGATCGTATTTACAAGCATTTGGGGAGCTTCCTTAAGCATATGGCTGAACACATAGGGATGTATCTTATCCTCTCCATATGTACTTTTAAATCCCATCGATATTAATACAAGTAACACATGTGCATATAGACTAGAGCATGTACTGTGTTTTCTTTCTCCTTATTTCCTTATTAGGGATAATAATAAAACCATAAATACGTTCCTTTTTGTTGTTTTATAAAACATTATGGGTCAATTCCTGATCTCATGAAAGTTGATGACCAAACTCCCATCGACTTCGTGGAGAGATCGTATCCTGTATGAATTGGAGTGGAGAACGTCTGTCAGTTACAAAGCAGAAGTCAGGACTTTAGCTTTGATCACATGCATTCATCTGACTGCCACTGTGATTTTGGGCAAATGCTTCTGTATAATGTAAAGCATGGAAGCACATGCCTGCACTGAAGCATGTAGATGCCCACCAGGGGAAGGGCTGCCAGCATGCTCGGTGCTAGCTGTGGGTTGAGGTCAGCTTTTGTAGCAGATGATTCAGAAGTTTGATGCTTAAACATAGGTTCATGTCAGGGGAGAAGAGTTGGAATGTGTGTTTGATTAGGTTTTTGAGTTGGGGCCTGAACTGCCACCTGCAGGAACTGAAAATCAGGTACAGCAGCATTGTGCTTGTGAATGAAAAATGGGAAGTCTCACTCACTAGAAAGAAAGGCTTCCATTCAGTGTTTGAAGAGAACAAATTAGAAGTAGCCATTGAAAATTTGGGGGGGAGGGGGGGGAGGGAGTATTAGTTTTATCCTAAAATTATATTAATAACTCTTAACATTTTTGCAGAAATTGCTGCTGCCTCTTACTCCCCCTTTCTCCGTTTTTACTATACTGTGATCCAGCACAAGTCTCATGGGATGGTATTAGAGATGACGGTCAATGACACTGAGTTGGAAGAGAAAGAACAATATATCAGTGCTGTTGATATATGAATATTCTGTGTGCTAATTTGTTTTGTGAGGTTAACTTATACCTTTTATTCGTTGTAGAAAGTTCTAGTAAACCATCTGCTAGGTATTTTCAAATATTGGTACAATACCAAGACTTAACAGTCTGACTCATTTCTATGCCATTTATAAAACACAAGGCATCATACAAATTCCCTCAGACACTCACCCAAGAGTCTTACTTCAAATAAATATAGATTCTCAGAAACATTTAACTTGGACCATTAAAAAATTGTCCATCAATCCATCACTAGTTGGTTGTGTTTTTTAATTTCCTACATGCTAAATACTATAAATGAAGTTGTGAAGTTATATCTGCAACTGAAACCTTAAAATGTTGTTGTTCGGGTTGTACTAGACACATTTATTTGTAAAGACGTAAAGGGAAAGCCAACAAATAGAACATAGTCATGTTGGAAAGAGGCTCTGCAAAAAAGAGCAAGTTCATATTAGAGTTTAACAGCTGAAGCTTTTTCTTCCTTTCCTTCAATTTCCTCTTTATCACCTGCTGATGCTCAGGTTGCCTTCTGCGATTGCAGTGTTCACACCTTAGTGTTCTGCAGAGAGCAGAAATACTGCACTGATGAATGCTGTGGAAAAGCCTGTCACTGTATATCTTACAAAAGTAAAAAAACAAGTCAAAGGTAACAGTTTAAATAGTCTTTAAGTATTTGTAGAGATCAGAAAGATTTTCTTTTGTCTTCAATAGAAATCCACCAGTATTTCAAGCAATAATTACGGAGGACTCATAATTGGGTCATAATTGGCTCCAATTCAATTAATTACAGGTCTAGTCAAATGCTTAAAATTATGCATGTGCCCAAATTCATGGTGAAATCAGGGACCATTTGATATTCTAAATGTATGGCAATTATCTTCCATTATATTTAAATAATGTAAAAAAAAAACAACAAAGAAAAATGAACAGTTTATAAATAAGTAATATAGTGAGCATAAGGACCAAGCACATAAGAAACTGTTTAAAGAGAGACTTTCCTTTTTTTTTCTTTAATTGGAACTGGTGCTCATTCATACTTTACTTTGTGATTAAAATACACAAGAAAATGCACATTTTTATTGTCTTAAACCATTTGGTGCATGTTGAAATTGAGATAGTAAAATCTAATCTACAGTGGTGCCTTCTGCATTTAAATCTCCAGTCAGCATCACCTGGTCTTTTATTCATGATTCTTCTATTCACCCTTCTAATAGGTAAAGACTGACTCTTGGAGACAGCTGCTACCATTTCTGTTGTGGGAAATCCCTTCTTGTACGTTTGTGTGTGCATTTAAATATAAAAACTCTTGCCAGACAGAATTATTTAAAAGTTTACTTTACTTTTGTGCATAAGAAAAGGATTCAGCCAGCAAGACTGTTGGCCAAGGCATTTCTAGTTCTGTTTTGTTGTTTTCTTGTAGTGTTAAGGATGTGTTGTCTTTTGAGATATGTTTTACCTTAGTCTGATGAGGCTTTGAGTTTTTTGTGACACATCCTTTCATCAGCCCTGCAGAATACTTGCTTGTGAGAGTTTTGATTTGTTGAGGATTGTTGGTTATAAAACAAAAGTCAGTCATATCTGTCTGTGTAACTACCAATATCTCACATAGGTATGAGATTGGCCCATGAACTTAAAAGACCTGCTTTTAAATTAGGATTACCCTTTTGTTATGGACTGAAGTGAAAAATGTTTTTCCCTTTTTACTGCTTAGTTTTTATGCTCAAAGTTAATCACTTCTAATAAAAGTTAGGTAATAATTTTAAACCCTCAATACTGGACTTCTTCGAGTATGAGGGTAAAGATTTTTGAGGCATCCACGTACTCAAGTGTGTTTTGTGTATTTCCAAATGAGAACTTTTTCTTTCCATCAGCTTGCTTGAGCTGGGATAATTAATGGCTCTATTAAGCCAAATTGATCTTAAAATTATATCCAATCTGCTCTGATTGATGTGATGATCCACTGAACTGATTATCTTACTGCTGCCATCGAGGTGAAGTAATTGTGAGAGCAGCAGGGCTTGTATGAACCTTTAGGAGAAAAGTTTGATAGACTG